TTGGTTCATTTCTGAAAGAGCATAAGATCTCTTAGGAAAAGGTTTGTGGTGTTTGCACAAATGGTGCTCCAGCTATGCTAGGATGTTGATCTGGATTTCAACATTTGGTACTGAATGAGTCACCAAAAGTCATCAGAACTCACTGTATGATTCATTGGCAAATATTAGCAATGAAGATGCTGCCACAAGAGTTATAAGAAGTAATGAAAAGCATAAGTTCTGTCAATTTTGTAAAGGCGAGCACTTTAAACAGTCGACTGTTTTCGCAATTTTGCAAAACAGTTGGATGCACAGAGTAGGATGTGCCAAACAATGCTCTGCTATTTCACACTGAAGTGAGATGGTTGTTGACAGGAAAAGTTTTAAAACATGTTTTTGAGCTTCATGATGAACTCAAAATGTTTTTTAATCAGAAAGCAAGACCGCAGTTCAAAGCACTTTTTAGCGATAAAAGTGAACTGCGGAAAATAGCTTACTTGGTTGACATCTTTGCCATCTTGAATGAGTTAAATTTATCACTACAAGGACCAAAAGCAACATGCCTTGATTTGTCTGAAAAGATCCAATTATTCCAAATGAAACTTCAGCTTTGGCAAAAAAAAATTGGATGAAAATAAAATTTACATGTTGCCTACCTTATTTGCTTTCTTTGAGAAACATGACATTGAACCAGACAAAAGGATTACGATGATAATTTCTGTGAAAGAACACTTGCAAATGCTTGCAGACAAAATTTCATTGTACTTTCCAAATCTACCTTACATCCCATTTGCACTTGCCAGAAACCCATTCATGGTCAAAGTTGAAGATGTTCCTGAGACAGCACAAGAGGAGTTCATTGGACTTATTAACAGCAATGCAGCAAGAACTGATTACTCTACAATGCCAGTTACAAAATTCTGGATCAAGTGGTTGTAGTCATATCCTGTTCTGTCTGAGACTGTGTTATGCCTTCTTCATCCATTTTCAACAACATATCTTTGTGAAATAAGGTTTTCCAGCTTGTTGGTTATCAAGTCTAAATACAGAAGTAGACTTGTTGTGGAAGATGATCTTTGTTGTGCTCTTATAAAGACTGCCCCGAGAATTTCTGATCTGGTAAGAAGCAATGTCAACCTTTGCACTGATGTTGGCTTTTTACCCATACTGTTGCAAAATGTAGCAATGTAGTTTACTGTTGTTATATTAAGACTGTTACCCATGCTACACCATGCTTCAAGACAAAATTTTATTTATTTGTAATTAGAAATAAATATTTCACAATATATAATTACATATTGTTTTTGTGATTAATCATTATGCTTTAATTCTGTTCAATTTGTAACAATGAAAATACATCCTGCATATCAGATATTTACATTGCGATTCATAACAGTAGCAAAATTACAGTTATGAAGTAGCAATGAAAATAATTTTATGGTTGGGTGTCACCACAACATGAGAAACTGTATTAAAAGGTCATGGCATTAGGAAGGTTGAGAACCTCTGTGGTATAGGATTTTATCCATTGGTCCAATGTGGCCCATGTTAGAAAACTAAGGTGAATCAAACTCACAGCACACTATTCACCGTACAGAGTGCTTGTTTATTAATTTATAATGGGTTGTGTTTCTTTCCAATAACTGGGACATTTATATCTGCTATCCAGGGTATTCTTTCTCAGGTATCAAGCCAGAAGGAAAACTCACAGTTATCAGATGTTTCCTGTACACCAAGGTATATTAGTTACATTTTTGTACATTTTTCTAGTTAATCTGCACTCTAACCCTGTGAGGTATTATCTGTATTTTACACACAAGAAAACCAATTGTTTTTTGTTGTTGTTGTTGTTTCTTATCCTCACCTGCAGACATTTTTCCATATTTTGTTCAGATAGAGTGGGAGGGAGAGAGAGAGAGAAACATCGACGTGAAAGGGACACATTGAGTGGTTGCCACCCATACAACCCAATCAGGGCCAGGGACGAACTGCGACTGAGGTACATGTTAGAGGGAACCGAACCTGGGTCTCTCTGGACCACAGGCCGACACTCTAACCACTGAGCCAAACTGGCCAGGGTGAAAACCAATTATTCAAAGAGGTTGAGTACGTTTCTCAGTGAGAGAGAGTGAGAACCTTCTGGCTGTAGTACCCACGGGCCTCTTCCTACTCTGGGCTAGATAACCGCAAGTGAGGCAGAGATGAGATGGCCTCACAAGGTTCACGTCACAGCAGAATTCGGGAGTCAGGAAAGGCCTCTCTGATGACCCTAGATCTGAGTCCTAAAAGAAGAGTGTGGACAAATGAAGAGTGTGGGCAGTGGCCCTGGGATCGGGGAGCACTGGGGTGAGTTTGAGGAACCACGTGGCTACAGCTCGGCAAGCTTGGGTGAGCTCCGAGGAGCCCCTTAGAGACCTCAAAGAGGAAAACTGAGATGAGATTGCCAGTCTATAGCCCAGGTCCCTTTGGAGCTGGGTGACCCAGGCTGCTCTTTATGGAGGGCAGGGAGGCCATTAAAAAACCCAGACTTTTCTATCTTCACATGACACTCTAGGTCCTAGAGTCTAGGATGTTCCAGTCCCTTAAATTACTTGGATACTTTTTTCCAACATAGCTGACTTCCTAGTGTTGGTAATTTCCTGCAGAAGGTTCATTAATTGGGCTATCACTGTTTTTCTTACAATGCTGTAGTATCTGTAAAGTCTTCAAGTTTGACCAGTAACTAATGATTAATAATTTGAGGACCAAGAGACCTATGGTTCCACAACTGGAGTGACTGTTGGAATCACCTAGAGAGGTTATTAAAGATACAGAGGCTTGAGACCCAACCTGACCTACTAAATCAATAGCAAGTTCCACAAGCTATTCTTATGTAGCTGGTCTGACCACATCTCAGGAAGTCCATGCTCTGGGACAGGGTCAGTGGGAGGTCAGACAGGTGGGTGAGGGCAGCAAAGATCCTGAGCAAGGCCCATGTTTTCTGCCTCATGGTGAAGATTCCAGTAGCACAGGGAGTGTGTCTTATGTATGTAAATGCCATGTGTCTTTCATAAAGGCTGTGCTCACCTATTGACTCAATTAGCTAGTGATATTTCTAGAAAGTGCTATGGTCATTGTTCTCAAGAAGCTTATTAGCTGTGCATTTCATCAATCCTAAAATACACATCTTGCCCTGGTTGGTGTGGCTCAGTTGGATCATTGTCCTGTACACTGAAAGGTTGCAGGTTCGATTCCCAGTCAGAGCACATACCTAGGTTGCAAGCTTGATCCTGGTCGGGGCACATACAGGAAGGCAACCGATCTGTTTGTCTCTCACATCAATGCTTCTCTCTCTTTCGTTCTTTCTCTCTCTCTTTATAAAATTAATAAGCATGTTCTCAAGTGAGGATTAAAAAATAAATAAATAAATAAATAAATAAATAAATAATAAAATGCTTGTCTTTTCACATTTTAACATCTCAGAAATGGGATTGTGCCTAAAAATTGATTGTATCTTAGCTTTGTTATAATGTAATTGAGAGGGTTTTTTTTTTAATGGTATGTAAAATAATGGTGCCACTTAAAATTAATGGTATCTTCAAACTGATGAAACACAGTAGTTGAAAAAGGAACAACATGCTTATATAAACAGGTAGCTGATATGAGTTTTGTTCATGCTGTTCCTTCTACATGGGTAATTCTGTACCTCTGCTTCACCAATTCTACAAATCTATTACAATTTCATTAAAATGCCACCTCCTCCAGGAAACCTTCTGTGTCACCCCAGTCCCACCATCCAATCTATAGCCCAAATTTTCCCTCTGACCTCCTGTACTTGCCTCTGACCTGTACTTATCACGCTGTTTACATTTATCCTGGAATTGGTCCACCTCTCCCTCAACTAGATTGTGAGGTTCTTGAAAGCAAAGATACAGTGTACACCTCTATGTTCCTAGTATCTAGCACAGAGCCTGGGATGCAATAGAAGTTTAATGAATGTTAGTTGAATGAGTGAATAATGAAAGATTGAATAGTTATAGGCAATATATGATCTGCATCATATGTAATGCCATAGGATTTCAGAAGAAAGGCAGAGCACAGGGCTGGAAAGGCCAGGTATGGCTTCATGAAGGGAACGGGATGCAGGCCAATCTGGCAGGATGGCTCAGGACCACTGATGAAATAGGAATGAGAAAGGGGCAGTGCTCAAATCTTCATCTCTCCTACTAGGTAGATCCTGCGATGACTGTTATTTGGCTGGATTTCATGTGTGGATTTCAGGAGGCTATGGGATTTCATTCATCATTATCCTTAATAATTAACTCTGGGTGCTAAGGAATAAACAGTTCAACCCTCAGTAAGCTCTCACAGGAAGCTGTGAATATACACACTGACTTTGTGGTTTAGACCTCAGAACTTCCTGCCAGAGCTTGATAAGATTTAGCAAGTGTGAGAGGCCAGGAGAGGCGGTGGACGGGACCACAACCATGGCACCGACATTTCGAGGCAGGTGCCTTTTTACCACCTACTGTTTTAGAACCTTAACTGAAAACTGTTTTGTTCTCCCCACTTCCCCCAAAGTACAGCTAGCATGACTCTAGTTGGGGATGAGGTCTGACCTTTTAATAATGGTCACTAAAGAGACTTGGGATCTGATTCAACTGAGTTGTCTCTTAGCTTGCCTTTTTGTATGTCATCTAATGGGCTTGAGGCATCTCCAGTATTCCTGGAGTCCTCTGTTTCCCAAGATGATTCTGTAGGTCACTGTGACTGGTGCCTCTTGTTGAAGTTTGTGCATAGTTTCCATTCATTTTACAAATCTACAAGTAGGTTGTCAGGCCAGCTTCGTAGCCGAGACCTGGGGAGCATGTTCTGGTGATTCTGGTGGGGTAAGGGGGCTCAGGTGAATCGGGGTGACCAAATTTGGTTCTGCTGCCACACCAAACAACCTCTTTTTAATGCAGCAGCTTGATGCTGAGTTTCTTCCTGTAATGAGTAGACACTGAAGTCAAGTCAAAGCTTTTATTTCACATGTACTCCGGAGATGGTGGGTAAGTGTCCACCAGGCACATAAGAAACCCAAGTCTCTTGAACAGGCAGGCGGCTGGTAATGAGACACAGGCAGAGTGGCTGCTGGATGTCATGCAGGGAGGCGAGGAGAGCTCTAGGGTTCTGCGATGTGTCACCCATCATCCTAATGATTGCACTTGTGCTGCCTCTCCCTTCCTGGTGCAGCGGCATTTCAGGAGGAGGCCAGAGACTCTAGCTGTTAGATCGTGTGGCTGAGGTGTGCAGGTGTGGCTGTGGGCCATGAGCTCGGGAGGCGATGATGCCCTACTTACAGGACACAGTCGACAGAAATGCAGGCATCCACACCAGAGTGCAGGAATTCCACAGTGCCTTTCTGGGAGGGGACAGTTTCTATCCCTTTTAATTAGAGGATGGGGACAGCTCTGCCAAAAGACAGTTATGAGTTTTCTGTGGCCCCACGGGGAGGTTTTGGTTGAACTCGAGGCCTGGGGAGAGGAGGTCCTTTCTGCTGGTGAACTCGTGTGCCAGGGGAAGGAAGAGGCCTCTTCTGCTGCTGGTGCTGGTGCTGGACACGGTGGCCGGGAGGAGGGGGACGATGACCATGTGCCTGGGGACGATGACCAGATGGTGGAGGAAGTTGGGACATGGCTGGATTTTGAGGACCTGAGGCTGGGATTTGGTGGGGCGTCTGGCTTCTTTCCTGAGAGGTTATTCTGTGTGCTCTGATATCCAGTTCCTCACCTGCAACAATAAAACCCCTGAAGAGTTCATCTTGGCAAGATATGATCAATGTAGCTATTTACTGAGTGTACCTGCTATGTACACGGCTTCACGCTAGCTGCTTTCAGGGATATGACGAGGAAGCAGAATTGCCCCTACCCTATAAGGGTTCCCTGTCTTGTAGGGGAGACAGAAATGCTCACCAGCAAGGCAGAGTGAGAGCCTGAGGCTTTGAGAACTTAGGAAGCCAGATACAAGGTCGCCCGGGGGCAGAGAGGGCACTCAGGCCCCACAGCCGGCCTCTGTGTCCTAGAGGTGGCAGGCACACCGAGAGCGCCTTGTGGTTAGAGCCCTAGTAATAGGCTCTGAGTAGGCAGAGCATGTCAGTAACAAGCTTCCTTCAGGGGGGTTGCTCCATTAGATCTGCCTTTCACCCAATTCAGCTCTAATGCAACCCACATTCCAGCGAGGCTTGGAGGATACACAAGAGGTTCCTTAGTCCTTAGAGACTTACTAGTTTCTTAGAAATTCAAAAATAAGCCCCATCCTCCTGCACTCAGGAGAAAAAGAATTCCTGCTCTGGTCACCCCTCTGGGACTTTCTGCTTTGTGTGACTGTCACCCATGAAGACAGGCCCACAACTCATAGTAATGTAGTTTTTCTTACGCTGTTTTGAAATCACACAGAAAAGGTGTGAGGATCTCAGATGCTAGAGATCTGGAGGACCTCCCACCCTGGCCCCGGCTAGGTCTCAAGTCCCTGTGCCCAAGGTCCTCCTTGCAGTGCCCTCAAGGAAGGCAGGAGGACGGCCTCCCTGGGGTCACATCATTACAGGGGTGAGGGCTTGGCAAGCAAAGGTCCTCCAGACTGAGTGTCGCCCTGTAACTTCAGGGGGTGACGTCAGTCCAAAGGCTTCCTCCCACTGCTGGAAATCAGCCCAGGCAGCTGCCAACGTGAAGACTCAAGGCAGCAACGCGGTTTCTACATGTGAGAGGCTGGTGTGCACTAAGCACACACACAAAAAAGGGCCAGAAAAACACATCCTCTGTGCCATCCTTGGTGCCCCAAGGTCATGGCCAGGAGGCTGGGCAGAGGATTGTGACCTCTGGCCCCACTTCCGGCTGTAGGACAGGGGGGTTCATTTTCATTCCCTTCGTCGCAGGCTTGGCCTGGCCATTTGTCTACTGTTTACCACTATTCTGTTCATTTGTTCTTCGAAAATGTATTCCCCTTTCTCTAGGTGTTAGTGCCATTGCTAAGTGGCAGCTATGGCCCAGACATAAACACTGTCCTCAGGAAGCCTAAAATTAAGTAAGTGGGACTGCAAATCACAATGTCAGCCTCTAATAAGAGCCCAGGGCCCCCAGAGGGGTGCAGACCAAGAACCCCATGAGTCCAGGAGGAGGAGTGGGGTGTGACCAAGTGACTGAGCCCTCCAGCTGGCCTGGACAGGCTGGGCTAGCTATGGCTCTGGGCAGCCTGTCTGGGCTGGGCAGGGCTGTGGGCCCCAGCATGCCCACATCCAAATGACAGTCCCTGCCCAACATCTGCTCCAAGGAATTCCTCTAGGCTCAGTGTCCTTCTCCCTCATTTTATCCCCTAGTTACTCAACTCAGGTCCAGGACCAAGGTGAAACCAGCAAGGCACCCGGGCCTCACTCTCAGGGTTGTGCAAGAGCAGGGTCAGGGGTGAGGGTCTCTTTAAATTTTGTACCCTGAGCTCCTTGCTGGCCTCACCCTAGTCCGGACTCAGCCTACTCTGAGCTTCAACTTTCTTACCTGTATGACTATTATCTATTTCATAAGATCACTTGGAAATTTGGATGAGATAATGAATATGAAGCATATAGTACAGATTAGTGCCTAGCACGCAACTATTTTGTCACTGTGAAGTAGTCATCATGTTAGTCATTTCAGCCTGATGATCTTCGATCATTAGGTGTTGGAAAAGGGGCCTTTGCAGGAGGAAAGGGGCAGAGAACAACCTGAGCAAGGCACGGAGTGAAGAAGTCATTGGTGCCTCTGGGACTCAGCAAGTGATTCTGTGCCACTGGGTGAAGAGTGTGGGAAGGATGGTGGTGGACATGGGCAGTGGTGCGGCAGGACTTAGGGCTGAGGGCCAGTGACCTGAAGGAGACCTGAGGCGAGAAGTCTGAAGGAAGGCAAATCTGAAGGTGGCCGGAGGCCACCAGGTCCTTCCTTGGGGATGCCCATTCTAGGAAAAGCCCCAGAGCGAGAGGACCAGTCCTAGAGTGAATGTGATGTTGCGCAGAATCTGAGGGGCCTGCCCACCTGGCTGCATGTCCTGCCAGTGGCTGGCTGCTCCCTGCTAGATCCCCTGCAACATGGGGTCCCAAAGCCCCATCACAGCACCATGGAGACATCTGATGTGCCTTTAGAGTCATCCCCTCTTATCCACAGTTTAATTTTCTGTGGTTGCAGCTACCTATGGTCAACTGCAGTACAAAAATATTAAGTGGAAAATTCTAGAAATAAACAATTCATAAATTTTAAATTGCACGCCGTTGAAATCTTATTCTGTATCGTCTGGATGTGAGTCATCTCTTTGTTCAATGTATACACACCATACATACCCTCGCCCCCGTTAGTCACTTAGTGGCCATCTAGTTATCTGATTGACTGCAGAGGCACCTCAGTGCTTGTGTTGAAGTCACACTTAATAATGGCCCTAAAGCCATTCACACAACTTTTGTTACAGTAACTATTTATTAGTTATTGTTGTTAATCTCTTACTGTGCCTAAAGTTATAAATTAAACTTTGTTATAAGTATGTATTTGTAGGAAAAATATAGTATATATAGGGTTTGGTACCACCTGTGGTTTCAGGCATCCACTTGGGGTCTTGGAATGTGTCCCCTACAGATAAGGGGGGACAACTATGTCTGGACACACTGCCTCTGGTGGCCTGGGTGCTCTTTGAGCTAGCTCCCCACTTATGAGCACCATCTTGTTATTCTTGGTGGATCATCAGACAGGTCTGATATGAGGAACAAACACTCAGAGCCCTAACATCCCCTCTGGACAGCGAATTGGAAAAGGAGGTATAAACACCTGGTTTTAGAACAAAGGTGTTCCTGTGGGTCCCTGATGCCCTGAAATGTTTACCTGTGTTCCTAGGAATCTGGCCATCCCCACAGGATTGGACAAGGTGTTTGTTCACAGAAATGGTGTTTTGAAGCTAATCTTTCTACCCACTTAGAGATGTGTGGCTTATTCAAAATATGTCCACACAGCCTTACACAGAGTTGGCCTCAGGTGGTGGATTCCAATGAGGCCAACCTGGATTCAGCTTCTTCAAGCTCCCACATTGTCACCGCAGAGAATGTGTTTTTTAGAAATCAAGCTAACCACAAAATGGAACAATCTGTAACCGCCCTTACAGCCCTGCCATTCTGAAACTGCTCGTCTCCCTTGCTTTCCTGTCAGACGCAAGTGTCTTCCCCATGAGTTGTTTCCACGGAGATTTTGCCCAGCCCTGCGGGGGGACAGAAGAGGAAGCTTACCATGTGTCCTTCTGTGCTGTTTTTTCCTCTTGCTGATAAAGAGAATGAGAAGTCCCACGATGAGCAAGAAGAGCAAGCCTCCTCCAGATATGCCAATGATTGTGTAGATATCCAGACCATCCTCTGCAAGAGGAACAGAGGCGGGATGGAGGGGATGGGTCCTGGGCAGAGGGGTCATCAGTGCTCTGGCCAAGGACTCCTTCCTCCTGCACTAAGCAGATAATAGTGCTTAATACATGGATCTTTCCAACCTCATAAAGGCCAAGCTCATGGAGGGTGGTGGACTGTGTCTGTCCCTGAAAGGGTGCAGGGTCCAGGACCAGCCCCTCAGGGGGCTCCTTGAGAAACTGCCCTCCTGGACTAGAACGCTGATCCTTCCCTGTCCATGGCCCCCAGTAGAGGAGACTGTCACAGAAGTTCAGACTGGAGAATGAGTTTAGAGACAATGTAGTATCACCTATAGTTTTACAGACAAGGTCATCCTCCCTCCCACAGAGGGAGGATGAGTTTCTGTAAGCAGCCCCTTGTCCCAGAGTTCCCGCACTGTTTACTCAGCTTCATCTCTGCCACCCTCCTATACCATTGTTTTCCTCACCCTCTTGACCAGGCAGTGTCCAAAGACTGAGGGTAAATGTGTTCCTTGTCCAGCCAGCCCTCTGACCACACAGCCAGCACCCCCTCCCAGACTTCCCCGGCCTGTGAAGGAAACTCTGGCTCACAGTGACAGCAGCGGCAGTGGACTTGATCGTCAGCCTCCAGGCCTTCTTCAGTTGCTGCGATGCAGTGAGGATAACAATGACTCAGTGTTTAGAAAAGGGTTTGAGTTCCAGGCTCTTCTAAGCAAGATCTGTGTGACCTTTGGCAAGTTACTCTACCTCTCTGAGCCTGTTCCTTTGTAAAATGGAGATAATGAGACGTACATCACAGGGTGGCTGCTGGAAATCAATCAGATAAAGGATGTGAAAGTGCTTTGTAAACTGTAAAACAGCACACAGAGGTGAGGTCCTTCTCTTAGTAGAGCTCTGTGCACTGGCGTTTCTGGGAGCTGTTTCCTGGGAGGGCTGCTGGGCCATCTGCCCTTTGTGAATCAGTGGCAGCTAGAGAGGCAGCAGCTAGGGCCAGGGGTCAGGGGACTCATACATCTGGAGAAAAACTGGAGCTCAGCCCAGCATCACAAAGAAACCCTTCTCCAGCCAAACATTCCTAGGAAGATACTCTTTTTTTAAAAGAAAATATTTTTTCTTTATTGATTTTAGAGAGAGAGGAAGGGAGGGGGAGAGAGAGATGGAAATATCGATGAGAGAGAACATCGATTGGCCGCCCTGACCGGGAATTGAACCGGTGACCCCTTGGTGCATGGGTCGGCGCTCAACCACTGAGCCACAGGGTGGGCCCCGGGAGCAAGCCAGAAGCCCAGAAATCAAACCACAGACTGCAGGGGTGTATTTTCTTTCTTAAGTCTCTCTGACCTGTTCTTTGCCTGCCAGTTGCAAAACCCCTCTGGTTGGTGGATGAAGGGGCTTCCTTAGGAAAGAGGGCATAATCCTAGACTGCTGTGAAATGGGTTCAAGAAAGTATCTGGGGTTCTTTGGGACCTGGTGGCTGGGAGACAGGGGTGGTGCTGCTAGAGTCTCCCTCAGGCTGAGCAGAGAGCTTCCTAGGTTCTGACCCAGGTGGGCCAGGACAAGCCTGGAACTAGTTGGGGAGCATGGGGCTCAGCCATGCAGCCACCAGCTCATCTTCTCTCAAGGTCCTCTCATGGGGGGCCACCCCCTCATCTTGGGTACACTTACAGAGTCAGTTCTCAGTTTTTCCAGCATGGTCTTTTGGGGCTCTGGGGAATGCTCTCTGTGGGAGACATTCCAGCTTGTCTGAGGCATTCAAAACTGCGTGCTCAGTGTCTAAAGCCAACCACCTCCTTCCTGCACTCCTTGGAGAGAACACGCCCAGAAGTTTATGTGGTGAGTCCTTCCTCTTGTGTTCTGGTTTTAAAAGTGTATACTCACCTATTCTGAGCCCAATGGTTAGTCTTATCATTACTCCTCTCTGCCTTAGCCTTCAGGAAGAAACATCCAGATCGTTTTTTTTGGGTCTTCAAGAGCAGCATCATTCTCCCCAGACCCCTCCCCACTTATCCCTCCCATCTCTTTTGTGGTTTCCCCAGGCCGACCCCTGCTCTGCACCACAGAGTAAGGGGCATGACGTTTTCAGTCTGAACCTCAGCTTCTCCCAAGGCCCTCCCTCCGTCCCTAATGCACACACATTTTTATACTGGTGGGATCTAGTTTAAAAACCAGGGAGTAGGGTTGTCAGATAAAATACTGGATGCTCAGTGAAAGTTTAATTAAACAATAAATAATATTTAGTTTAAGTATGTCCCATGCAACCTTTGGAACATATTTATGCTGTCATTTTATTTGTTAAATCTGGCAGCTCTAATCATGGGCCTCCTGAAAGGGAAACAGGGTTGTGAAGTCAAGGAGGGGCCATTCGATTCATTGTGCCTTAGTGATGGGCAGACATGGGGTGAAGTGACGCTGGTCTAAATGCATGGTTGGCAGATTCTTAGATGGCCCAAAGATTCCTGCCTCCTGGTATTTCCACCTTTGTGTCATGCCCTCCAGTTGAATGTGGGCCGGACTTATTGGTTGCTTCTAATTGCTAGAATTCAGCGGAAGTGCTGGGATCCTTATCACTCCTGAGATTGTTATAAAATATCCATGGCTTTTGTCTCGAGCCCTTATTTTTGCTCCTACTTAGATTGCTCAGAGGGAAGTTAGTGGACATATTGTGAGGCAGCCCAATGCCCACATGAATGAGCTTGGATATGGGAACCCCCCCCCCGCCCACCGCTTCCATAGAGCCTAAACATGATTGACATGACATACTGCCAGTATCCAGATTATAACTTTATGAAGGGTACTGAGCCAGAAGCACTAAGTCATTCCCAGGTTCATGACTCACAGGATCTGTGAGATAATAACTATTTGTTGTTTTAAGCCACAAAATGTAGGATAATTTGTTACACAGCAACAAATAACTAATTCGAAGAATATATATGGAAAGGCCTTACTTCTGACTTCACACCAACCCAGGGCTGCTTCCTAGGGTCACTGATCAGCCATAGTCACTGCAAAAATGCAGAACTTCTGAACAAAGAACTATTTTGTGTGATTAGTTTCCCAGACAACACTGGGAAGATAATCACAGAGTCTCAGATGAGTAGACTCTTGGGAATCAGGGGCTTTTTCTTTGTGGGTCAGGAGGCTGAAGCCCAGAAAGAAAGGAACTCTGTCAAGGTTGTGCCACGACATTTGGACAGAGCTCTGGCTCTCAGAGCTGAGCACTACGGCAGACTGCCGCTCCAGACTTACTCCTGGGGGTGATGTCAGGCTGCTGTGCCAGGAAGGAGTTTAGACTCTTAAGAGTTTCTCGACTTCCTGGTGCCGGCGCCAATGCCAGACTGTCTGCTCTGAGGCAGGAGAAGCATCTCCTCCCTAGGTCCATGATCCTCCCTAGGTCCATAGTCCTCCCTAGCCTTGAGCTCCTCTTCCCCCAAACCCCTAACCCCATGTTTTTCCACAGCCTCTGATAGGAGCTGCTGGCCATCTCCCTTTCAGACAGGAATGTTTTTTGCTCTCTTCCCCATCATTACCACTGTGGTTACTGACTAGCCGAGGGACCTTGGGCAAGTAAGTTCGTATCTCTGGAAAGTGGAGGTGTGCATGAAATAGCCTCTGCAGCTCTTTCTGTGTCCTCAGTTTGGCAGATTTTTCTACCAAAAGGTCTTTTCAGTTGCCTGGGGTTGCATCATGCTCTGTGGGAGGATGCCCGGACGGGTAACCATAGAACACCGCCTCCTCTGTCCTCTAAGTCTCCCCTTGAAGGCTTCCAGGGTCAAGGTGTGTTTCTTCAGTCCTCATCCTGAGTCAAGCCTGCCTCTCAGCCAAGGCACCAGGGCCCTGGAGCTGCCTCCACCGTGGGCCTGGCAGGCTGTGCATGTGGAGTGAACTTGGGATGTCTGACTAGTGCCTGCACGTACCTGAGCACCTGACGTCCGCCATGCTGGTCTCCTCACTGAATGTGTTAGTTGCTGTGCACTTGAATGATACAGTTGGTTTGGTGGTCCACTTGTGCACGATGACTTTCTGACCTTCTTTGATGTTTTTCCCATTTTCATACAGTGTTAATTTAGGGTCAGTTCCTTGTGTTATCTCACAGGTAATGGTTAAGTTGGTACAACCCCAGCTGATCACAGGTTTTGAGACCTTCTCTGAAAAGAAAATAAAGATCCAATTCATATGAGGCAATTCTCTGATTAAGATATAATTAATAGACATACCTATGTATAGAGGGGAAAATAGAGTCAGTTTTAGGCCAGGGAACAATTTCAAACACCCCTAGCTATTTTCAGAAATCATGTTTATTTTATTTATACACCACATTCAGAGAAATTTAATTTATAATAAGATTCATACATATATATCAGTAAAAATGTATCATATCAAAAGTTTAAGTACTGTTTTATCCTTAAAACATTTTCACATACATGATATAATTTAATCCTAACAAACAGAGAGGCTGAAGTTTTTCTTTCTGTTGACAGATAAAATGTCCAAGGCTCTAAGAGGTTAAATTGGGTGGGTTCATGCCCAAAGCTACTTGGCCACTCATTGTGCCTTGTTGGTCCTCATCTATAAGAGAAGGATAAGAGAGACATGCCCCATCTGTCATAACAGGGACCGCATGTGACAGAGCCCTGGCCAAAGTGTTAGGCACTGACCTTATTGGTGGTAGTTGGCACATTCATAGTCATGAATTCCTTGCCTTTGCTTTTCTGACATGAGAATATTCAAAGGGCCTGGCCTAGGCATCAGAGGCCAGGTGGAAATCCTACTCTACCACTTCTAGCTGTGTGACCTCCTCCTATTTCTTCTCTTCTGCTCTTTTTCTCACACTTTACTCTTTCCCCAGACTTGCCACCTTTCTTGCCCAGTTTCTCTATATTCATTTTGCAGATGGATAGTTTATTTTCCCAGGATTCCCTCCCTCCCTCACTCCCAGGTAACAATATCTTGTCCGTGAAATTTTCCACCAAATTGCATTTCTTTCTCAATATATAGGCATGCAGAAATTAAACTCTTTTCCCATCCTTGGATTCTGTGCAACCCAGAAAGAGGAGGATGAAGAAACACCATTGAACAACAAGACAAGGGTCAGTGTGTGCTCTGGGGGCTGAGTCAAGGCATTTACTTCTCTTTTCAAAATGGAAATATTATTTTTTCTATTTATAAGACTAACATCCCGTCATTGTAAAAATTGATTTTACAAGTTTCAAGATTAAAAGTCACTTGCAATCCTACTACCCAGAGCCAATAATTATTAATGCTTTGATATATATCTTTAGCAGATGCTTTGTATGCATTACATACACATATAAATATAAATAATGTTTTAATTTAAACATTTTTTAATCCTCACCTAAGGATATTTTTTCATTTATCTTCAGATAGAGTGGGAGGGAGAAAGGGAGAGAGAAACATCAATGTGTGAGAGACACATTGATTGGTTGCCTCCCACACAACCCTGACCAGGGCCGGGACCTCCAATTGTAACTGAGTTATGTGCCCTTCACCGGAATTGAACCCACGACCCTTTGGTCCACCAGCTGACGCGCTAACGTCTGAGCCAAACTGGCCAGGGCTATAAAGAATGTTTTAAAAACTAAAACTGTATCATGTGATTTTGTAGTCTGCTTTTTTTCCTTTTTTGAAATTATTTTCCTTAAGAATATCAAGTATGCCCTGGCCGGTTTGGCTCAGCGGTTAGAGCATCAGCCTGCGGTCCAGAGAGACCCGGGTTCAGTTTCCGCTAAGGGCACGTACCTCGGTTGCAGTTTGTCCCTGGCCCTAGTTGGTCGTGTGGGTGGCAGCCACTCGATGTGCCCCTTTCACGTCAATCAATCTCTCTCTCTCTTCCTCTCTCTCCCTCCCACTCTATCTGAACAAAAAATGGAAAAATGTCCTCGGATAAGAATAAAAAAAAGAAAAAGAATATCAAGTATATCACTACCATTTTTTTAGATGATGTATTCCTCACTTAATGAATATCTTCTTTCTAACTGCTGGGGACTTTTAAATCCTTTCCAGTATTTCACTAATATAAACCACACGGTGAGGAGCGTGTTTTTGAAGTCATATCTTTGTACATATCCTCTCTGTAAGATAGCTTCCTAGAAGAGATCGCTGGGGGCTCAGCTCATAGAGGAGAACTTCTTAATTGTAGGTTGCAAGGATTAACCCCTTCTCCACTAACAACTGCTTTTTAAGGGCTTTTCACTGCCTCTTCACCCAGAGGCAGCAGTCCCCTCATCAAGGGTCTTTGGGTTCCAAGACTGTAGCTAGGAGAAGCATGAAGAAACAATGAGATGGGGGAGGGCATCAGCAAACAGGCCCCATATCCTGGGCACTGGAGGCACCTGTGCTTAGTTGTCTCACAGAAGCTGGGTCTCGATGAATACCGCATGCAATTATTATTATGAAAATCAGACTCAGAGCATATAGAGAATTTGCTCCAGGCCATGAGGCAAGAAATGGTAACCAGACCACAACCTGAGTTAAGATGCTGTGAGCCTGGCCGGTGTGGCTCAGTGGACTGAGCGTCATCCCATGGACTGAGAGGTCCTGGTTCCATTCCCGGGCAGGGCGCATGCCCAGGTTGTGGGCTCAATCCCCAGTAGGAGGCCTGCAGAAGGCAGCCGATTGATGTTTCTCTCTCACATCAATGTCTCTATCTCTCTCTCTAAAAAAACCAATAAAAACTAATTAGAAAAGAAACAGACTACTTCAGCCCATTAGATTCAAGGTGGACTCCATTTGAAAGGAAAGCAGCCACCCAGAAGCAGTATTAATGACTACTCCCCAACCCATAAAACACACACATTAAAAAAAAAGGTGCTGTGTGACACACACACACACACACACACACACACACACACACACACACAGAGTGAGGTGGTTGTTACATCATGGAAAGATCTCTGTCTTTAGGCCGAGGACTGTGGGGTTTATTTTGAGGTACTAAAATTGTGGTATCACACAAATCTGAGTATACTACTACACACCACTGAATTATATACTTTATTTTATTTTTTTTAGTGGGAGAGAGGGAGGAAGAGAGAGAGAGAAATATTGATGTGAGAGAGACACATCGAGTGGTTGCCTCCCTCACGGACCCCAACTGGGGCCGGAGACAAATTGCAACTGAGGTACGTGCCCTTAACGGGAACCAAACCCAGGACTCTCTAGTCTGCAGGCCAACGCTCCAATTGCTGAGCCAAACCGGCCAGGGCTGAATTATACACTTTAAATGGGTGAATGTTATGGCATGTGAATTGTGTCTCAATAAAGCTTTTGGGAAAGACAAAATGTCACATCCTTGCTAAATGAAGCTCTGGGTTTGGATCCTGACTTTGCAGCAGTCAAACCGTGAGACTGGACAAGTCACTTTTGTTTCCTTATAGATAAAAAGGGGGTAATAACAGCTGCCTCTCAGGATTGGTGGGAACCTTAAATATGGAAGCAAAGCACTCATCACCCAGCAGAACTGTTGTCTCCACAACATTAAAGAAGACGGGAGTGGGAGGCTCATGTTCAGAGCAGGACCCAAGCCCATGCTGGCAAGAGTCTTAAGATCTGGTGCTCTGAGCCCATAGGCAGAGGCCCCTTCTGGCTCCATTCTCTGTCCCACTCTATTTCTGGAATGTACTCTTAGTTCAAGGTTGAGGAGTAGGGTGTGGAAAGTTGTCTTTTGCAGGGAGCTGACAATGTCTGGGATTGTTGGAGAGGGATGGCTGCCAGGTCCATGTACTGAAAGCAGCTGGAGGGGGACCCTGGGTAGGAGGAGGGGCCCTGCCCCTTGTGACTTTTCTGTATGAAGCACAGAAATGTTATTTGCTCACTGAGCTGCTTGCTGGTTTGTGCTCATGTTGGGGTTCCTGTCTTCCTCTCCAGGTCAAATTCAGCTTCCTCTTCTCACTTCTTTTATTTTTAAGTCTTCATCTGAGCATGTTTTTTTCATTGATTTTTAGATAGAGTAGGAGGGGGGGAGAGAGACAGAGAGACAGAGAGAGAGAAACATCGATGTGAAAGACCCATCAATTGGTTGGTTGTCTCCTGCACGACCCCGACTGGGGCTGGGGATCAAACCTGCAACTGAGATATGTGCCCTTGACCGGGAATCAAACCCATGACTCTTTGGTCAGCAGGGCCAATGGTCTAACCACTAAGCAACTGGCCAGGGTTCTTCTCATTTCTTTCTTTGTTTTTATCCTCACCTGAGGACATTTTTTCATATTTTGTTCAGATAGAGTGGGAGGGGGAGAGAGAAAAACATCAATGTGAAAGGGTTACATCGAGTGGCTGCCACCCGCACAACCCAACCAGGGCCGGGGACAAACTGAAACCAAGGTATATGCCCTTAGCAGGAACCAAACTCAGGTCTCTCTGGACCACAGGTGGATGCTCTAACCGCTGAGCCAAACCGGCCAGGGCTCTTCTCAATGCTAATCACCCCCTTTCAGGCGGCTACTGGACTTTCAACTTCAGTCCCTTCCATTCCACTTCCTTTTCCCTCTGTCCCACATCATCCTTGCCCATACTTTCTCCACATATGACTCCATATACTCACTCTTGGTCATTTCACAGTCACCCTTTAGTGTAGGCCAGAGGGCATCAGCCTTTACTGCCTATTAGAATCACTTGGCGACCTTTAGCACCTACTGATGCCCAGGTCCCACACTAAAATATTCTGACTTAACTGGTCTGGATGGAACCTTGGGCACTGGTAACTTTTTTTTTTTTAATCCTCACCCAAGGATATTTTCCAATTTATCTTCAGATAGAGTGGGAGGGAGGGAAGGAAGGAGGAAGAGGAAGGAGGGGGGAGAGAAACACCAATGTGAGAGAGACACATCAATTGGCTGCCTCCCGCACAATCTGGAACAGGGCTGGGGACCGAACTGCAACTGAGGTACGTGCCCTTGACCAGAATCGAACCCACAACTCTCTGGTCTGCCTGCCGATGCTCTGGCAGCTGAGCAAACTGGCCAGGGCAGCACTGGTAATTTTTAGCAGCATCTCAGTTGATTCTAACGTGTAACCAGGGTCAAGAATCACAGCCCTCCTCCCCTTCACTTGGTACAGCAGCAGCTCCCTGGCTAGCCTTCTTGCCACCACCTTGAGTATGCGCTCCTGCCCTCCGGCCCATGCACAGACACACAGAGCCACACCGTGCGTTCCCTACGGAGGTAAGCAAACATCATCTTCCACCTTGGATCACCCTGATGTGGAGTGGATCAGCTACAAGGGCTCTTCCTTAAATTCATTCTGTCCAGCCCTTTCCTCCCTTATGACTGGTTCTTCAGGGCATCCTGGCTAGACATGGTCTCTCTAGGTGGAAGACCCACTGCTCTCCAGTGAGCCCCACCTTTCCTGCTCCTCACCTAGCCTGCCTCTTCATCATCCACCTGGAATGCCTACCTTGTTCTTCGGCACCACCTGCTCCTTCCTCCTGATTAATGCCACCTTAACCCAGGTTCTTCATTCAGCCCCACATTCCCATAACCATTGAAGAGACAGACAGTCAGGCCAATAGACTGTGTATCAGCTGTATTTCCACCTGCGGATCCATGCCCCACAGGACAGGCGCCTCCACCGAGGCAGAGAGGATGCATTACTTTTCCCTCAGGCTCCCCCGAGGCTGTGGTCAAGGCTGGGGACATGCCATAAATGCTATCCCCCAACTTGCTAACTAGCACCCATATGAGATGGAGGAAATTAGGGAACAAAGACTTACCTAGAATCTTCAAATTAAATCTTTTGTTCAACACTTCTTTTCCATCCCTATCATATACATATACATTGTAGTCACCACTATTGTTTCTCTGCAGCTTTTTAATTTTCAGAGTTCCATTGTTAAATAGTTGGTATTCTTTCTCTTTCTTAAATACATCTATTTTGCCTTTGTTGAATCGTGCAATCCAGGTTTTCTCTTTTTTCCATTGTATATCATCTATATTATCATTCATTTTTAAATCATGAATGTCCAGATTGACGGCATGATGCAGGACCCCAGAGATGGTTGTAGAAGCTGCACCTGTAAAAAGCAAGACAGTTACTGAGGCCCTGAGACTCACTGCCAGGGAAAGCTGGGCTGTGACCTCTTTGACTCTGCACTCACTTCAGAGTCTCCGAAGAAGTTTTGAATAGTGACAGTGGAGACCCAACACCAACTTACCTTTGATAGAAAAGATGAAAATCAGAAGGAAGCTGGCTAAGATTTTACATGCGAAGCTCATCTTTGGGGATAGTTTCCTTATTGTGATTCTGAGCTTTTGCAAAAGGAACTAAAGTAAGACTGGTGGAACCCACCCCTGAGAGCTTAACCACGTGTCTCTCTTTTTTACTCCTTTTACAGTAGCATAGAGAGTACATATACACACACACTCCCACACACAGCAATCCAACCCTGCTGATCTGCTCCTTTGCATAAGTAGGTATATTTAAGAGTGTGTGTTTTCTTATCACATTTTAATTTTCACAACTACCTTGGGTAGCTTTTATTATCCCCGTTGAAGAGACAGAAACTAAGAGGCAAAGTAAATCTCTCAGATCACCCTTTAGTTACTAAGGAGCCAAGTTCTACCTTTTAGCTATCTTCTGTTCATTCTGTTATAATATCTCTGACAAGACCACATAAAAATATCAGTAAATATTCAACAGTGAATAGCAGAATACAACTATTTATCCTATGATTGTAAATATTAGAAAATAAATACATATGAAATAATTATAAAAATGGATTTTTTCTCTTTCTCAAAAGGTGTTTTTGAGGTTCTAAAATGGTTTTGTGATAAAAAGGAAACAAATATAAATTGAGTCTCTGAGCTTTTGCAAAAGGAACTAAAGTAAGACTGGTGGAACCCACCCCTGAGAGCTTAACTACATGTGAAGCTTGAAATACCCAAATGTTATGTTTAGCATACATTTTTATAACTCTATTGAAGATTCACAGGTAAATAAAATGTGTTCCAAAACAAACAAAAATGCACAGAGACTATGAAATACTCTTAAATAACCAGAAGAAATCATTAAAAAACATTTAAAATGGTTAACACTATTGATGGTTAAAGAAAAGAACAGATAAGGAGAGAAGGATAAGGGAGGGAGGACTTGGAAAGAGAAAGAAAAAGGAAATTGGTGATACAGGGAGAGAAGTAGTAATGCATTGATGGGCGCACACAGAGAGCTAGTCGAAGGAAAAGGGGACAGCCAACGTACATTTCCAGTTTTATGATTCTTTAGGATAGAGTGAGTAAAAAAATCTTAAAAATTGATCTTGTTTTCTGTTTCAACTTTAGGCACAAATATAGATATTACCTCTAAAATGTTGCCCAGGAAATGAAAATTAAGTCAAGAAATGGCTCTCAACCACTGGGTCAAAGGAAGCCTGAATAGAATATTTACCTCATAAATTAACTGTAAGTAGATTAAATTTTTAGATGTTAAAAAAATAAAGACATTTTTCATATTTCTGAGTTTGGAAGACCTGCCTACATATACTATATGATTCAAAAGTAATAAACAAAAGATGGACACAATTGACTACATAAATATATAACATTTTTTTTTTTTATCCTCACCCGAGGACATTTTTCCATTTTTTGTACAGATAGAGTGGGAGGGAGAGAGAGGAAGAGACAGAGAGAGAGAAACATCGACGTGAAGGGACACATCGAGTGGCTGCCACCCGCACGACCAACCAGGGCCGGGGACAAACTGCAACCGAGGTACGTGCCCCTAGTGGGAACCGAACCCGGGTCTCTCTGGACCGCAGGCCGATGCTCTAACCGCTGAGCCAAACCGGCCAGGGTGTATATATATATAGGCAAAGAGATGAACACAATGAAAAGACATGACAGGAAATAGTTAAAATAAATTTGAAAAATCATTAATATCCAAGATATATATTATTCCTATTAATCAATAAGAAAAAGAAAACTCAGTTTTTAAAATGGGTAAAGCATATAAATGAGCAGTTTATAGGAGAAAACTTTGTAGAAGAAATATTGATAAACATATGAGAAGACATCTAACGTCACCAAAAAAAAAAGAATACACACACACACATATAATTATATGTATATTCCCCAAAAATGTACACACAAATTATAAAGTATAATTATAAAACCAGTGTTAATGAAAATACATTTCATTTTTAAAATGTAATAGAATCTACAGACACCTGTATACAATTTTTTGGGACACCCTCTACATACCATACCCACAAAATATCATTTTCTCCACCAGATTGGCAAAATTATAAAAAAAAATATTTTATATCATTGACAAGAATGTAGGGAGAAACAGAGACCTTTATACAATATTGGAGGGATTGTAAATCCATACATCCTGGCTGGGGTGAAATTTCACAATTTCCACCAAGCTTTAAAAAATATATATATATATATGTATATATATATGTAAAAATATATATATAGACCTCATCATTTTAATTTGAGAAATTTATCTGACCAAATATTTGCATAAATATGTAAAAATTCTGTTTGAAGACATTTGTTCTAGTATTTTTTGTAATAAAAAATTGCAAACAACTAGCATCATAGTATATTCATATTATGAAATATTGTATAACAGTCAAGATAGAATAAAATAGACCTAAGAGTGAGAATACATGATGTGATATGATATGATATTTAGTGTATGCATGGAAAAAGTCTGGAAGGATTTATGCCAAAATTTCAAGTCTTTTCAGGACTTCACTTTTTACTTTATTAACTTCTATGAAGTTAGAAATTTTGGTACTGAGGACATACTATTTTTATAATGAAAAATAATTTTTGTTGTTTTTACTTAAGACACACATATGTTCTCAAACATAAGTGCAGATCCTGAGAAGCCAACAGCATCTGGCATCCCTACTAGTGAGTGACTAACCCACCGGCCAGCTGGCCAGCGGCACTTTGCAAGGCCAGGCCTAACCACTGCGGATGGCCACCATGACACCTGCCCCAGCTTCTAAGGGAAGTTGTCCCCTCTTCCTCCCACTTTCCTGAGAGTTTTTCTTAAGTTCTCATGGAGCAAGTGGAGAGCAACTTTCTATTCTTCTTTTTGAAACATTAATTCTGCTCCTCTCACATCTCATCCAGTTCTGAGTGGTGAGCATGGCTTCCAGGGTAGAACCTGTGACAAAGAAAGGGTAACATGTAACATTTAAAACTGACCATGTGCCCAGCCGATGTGGCTAAGTAGTTGAGCACTGACCCATGCACCAAGAGGTCACTGGTTCAATTCCCAGTCAGGACACATGCCCAGATTGTGGGCCCCATCCCCAGTGGGGGGCATGCAGGAAGTAGCCAATTGTTCTCTCTCATTGATGTTTCTATCTCTCTCTCCCTCTCCCTTCCTCTTTCTCTAAAGCCAATAAAGAAAAAAATTTAAAAAAAACAAAACTTACCATGTAACATTTAAAATGTTTGTGCGTAAAAAGCCATTAAAAAAAACATGAAAAGACAGAGTACTAAAAGGGGGAAATTATTTGCAAGATATATGACAAAGGTTAATATCCTTAAAATTAAATTTTTCTTGTAAATGTAGAAAGAAAAGATTGACACTTTGATATTAAAATGGGTCAAGGTCAGAAAACGGACAATTTACAAAAGAAGAAATATAATTGAAAATGTAGTCAACTTATTAATAAAGAAAATGTAAATTTTAATATGAATGCATTTTTCATCTTTCATTTTAAAAATGAAAGTATACAGGGTTGATGATGGTGAAAGCAGACATTCTTATATATGGTCAGTAGAAATGCAAATAGGTCTAGACTTTCTGGTGGGCAGTTTGTGTGAATCAGAAGCATCAAAGAGATTTATATTTTGATCTAACAAGTTGACAACAATAATTTTAAGGAAATAATGAAGGACTTGTAAGACTTCGCTGTACTTGTCCTTTTTACTCAAAATTGGAAACCATTTACTCAAAATTGGAAACCATGTCCAAGAGGAGGACATTTAGTTAAGCAAATCATGATATGACTGACTGAATACGGGGAAACGAGGTCACAATAAACAAGAGTCCCGTTTTTGTTTTTCCGAAAGTGTGTGTTGGATGTGTCTTTTGGAAGGCTGTGTGGTGGGGTAATGGCTAGTGTTCTGTTGTCCTTGGTTCTTGTTGCTATTGTAATATTTCTAAATTGACCATGTATTGCTTTTCAGTGGATTTATTTTTCATTCTATGTGGGCCTCCCACTTAAGCAAAAGCTCCCAGGACTGAGGGTGGGTGCCGTCCCTGTTTTCCTATGTGAGGTTCTGGGGGAAATCCGGTCAATGACTCATTTCAGTTCTCCCTCACCATCCGCACTGCAGGCTAGAAGTTGTTTCTTGCTCTGTCGTCATTGACTCTTTTTCTTAGAAACTAACACTCCTGAAGAGAAGCCAGTAAGAGGCAGAGAAGGAGGAGGAAGGCAACATTCTCATTGGCTTTAGGACCAATTCCTATACCTATAGTGAAATACCTTCAGTGCTGCCCACCTCCCTCTCTCTGTGTGTCAAGGTAAAGCACTAGCGTGTTAACGCTGTAGTAGTTCACACTCAACGGAATGTCTTGAGTTGTTAGATTTTAAAGCAGAAAGTCAAGAGCAGTCTGGTCTCCTCTCCACAGTTGAGGGTCCTGAGCCCTGGGATATCCTGGGGTGTGACTGCCCACCTCAGCCAAGTCAGCAGCCTAATCCCCAGCCTCTGAGACCTGTGCTCCAAATTTGGGGCACAGTCTGCTTCTTACTGAGACCTCACAGTCATCTTGCCTCCCATGCCTCACGTGCCCTCAGCTTAGGAATCACCAAGTCCAGCTCTCCTGCCTGTACCACATTCGTCTTCTCTCCTTGCCTCCTTAGACCTTGCCACAAGCTCAGGTGAGAAACACAAAAAAAGAGGAAAACAGTATGCCATGGCTTCAGCGATGATCAGCAAGGCCACGCCCTGTCTGTGTGCAGCCTGGTCCCCTTGATGTTCTGCTTGGTTGTGTCTGGGTGGTCACGTCAGCATCTGCTCAGAATCGCAGCCATTATCGCTGCCAGGCAGTGAAGGGCTGTTCTTACGAAGGCAGCCCCTTGCAGCAGCTGCCAAGGCACGCCCGCTGGTGGAAGCCTGTCTTGAGAGCCCACTCCTCTGCGAGGTGTCATCTCCTCTGGGGCAAAAGTCAAGTTTTATGTTCCTTTTGCGTTTCCCACCCACACAGCAGGGATGACAGCCTTGACACAAAGAAACAGTTCCTGTGTAAAATCCGGGTTCCCAACATGAGAGTCA